TCATAGAGGTAGGCAACTGCAGATTCTCCCAATCCCGCTAGGAGACCATCTACAAGTCTTTGGAAGGTGGCGGGTGCATTTTGCAGCCTGAAAGGGAGTACATGAAATTCATACACCCCTGCCTGGGTGACGAAGGCTGACCTTTCCTTGGCGGGTTCATCTAGTGGTACTTGCCAGTACCCCTTGGTTAAGTCTAAAGTAGAGATGAATTGGGCATGTCCCAATTTCTCCAATAGCTCATCTGTGCGTGGCATTGGATAGTTGTCAGGACGAGTTACAGCATTTAGCTTACCGTAGTCCACGCAAAAGCGTATTTCCCCATCTGGTTTGGGAACTAGAACCACTGGAGATGCCCATGCACTGTTAGAGGGGCGGATTATACCCATCTGTAGCATGTCCTGGATCTCCCTTTTGATAGCAGTTTGGGCAAGAGGTGACTCCCGGTAGGGTGGGGTTCTAATTGGGTGAGCATTACCTGTGTCAATGGAGTGGTATGCCTGTTGGGTCCGTCCTGGAGTGGCTGAGAACATTGGCGCAAAGCTAGTGCACAGCTCCTTGATCTGCTGCCGCTGCAGACGTCCAAGGGTCGCGGAGAGGTTCACCTCTTCCACGCCACCATTACTTTTTACTTCGTAGTAGACACCTTCAGGCCACTCTGCGTTATCTGTTTCCTGGGCTGTAAACTGGGAAACCTTTAATTCTCTGGAATAAAAGGGCTTAAGAGAATTAACATGGTATACCTTAGGCTTTATGTTGGAGGTGGGGGATGCTATGAGATAGTTAACAGCTCCTAGGCGCTCCTGGACCGTGAATGGTCCTTCCCACGACGCTTCCATTTTATGGGCCTGGAGCGCCTTTAAGACCATGACTTGGTCTCCTACTTTGAAGGACCGTTCTCTGGAATGTTTATCATACCAGGCCTTTTGCTCTTCCTGAGCATCCTTTAGGTTTTCTTTAGCAAGGGCTAAAGAGTGTCGGAGGGTGCTTTGTAGGTTGCTTACAAAGTCTAGAATGTTAGTTCCTGGAGAAGGCGTAAACCTCTCCCATTGCTGCTTCACCAACTGTAATGGCCCCTTAACCTCGTGGCCATACACAAGTTCAAATGGTGAAAACCCTAAACTGGGATGTGGTACAGCCCTGTAGGCAAAAAGCAACTGCTGCAACACTAGGTCCCAATCATTGGAGTGTTCATTTACGAATTTACGTATCATGGCCCCCAAAGTTCCATTAAACCTCTCCACCAGACCATTGGTTTGGTGATGAGGGGTGGCAACCAAGTGATTCACCCCATGAGCTTCCCACAGGTTTTTCTTGGTCCCTGCCAGGAAATTAGTTCCCGAATCTGTAAGGATGTCGGAGGGCCACCCTACCCTGGCAAAAATGTCTGCTAATGCCTGGCACACACTTTTAGCTCTGGTGTTGCTTAAGGGTACTGCTTCCGGCCATCGGGTAGCAAAATCCATGAAAGTCAGTATGTACTGCTTTCCTCTGGGTGTCTTCTTTGGGAAAGGACCCAGAATATCCACAGCTACTTGCTGAAATGGGACCTCAATTATGGGTAGTGGCTGGAGAGGGGCTTTGACCTAGTCTTGGGGCTTTCCCACTCGTTGGCACACTTCACAAGACCGGACATAATTAGCAACGTCCTTGCCCATTCCCTCCCAGTGGAAGGACTTCCCCAACCGGTCTTTGGTTCTGTTCACCCCAGAATGGCCACTGGGATGATCATGGGCTAAGCTCAAGAGCTTTACCCGATACTTAGTGGGAACTACCAACTGTCTTTGAGGATGCCAGTCTTCCTGGTGCCCACCAGAAAGAGTCTCCTTGTATAAAAGTCCTTGTTCTACCACAAACCGGGATCGGTTAGAAGAGCTGAGAGGCGGTGGGGTGCTCCGTGCCGCCGCCCAAGCTTTCTGAAGGCTGTCATCTGCTTCCTGCTCGGCCTGGAACTGTTCCCTTGATGCTGGAGACATCAGTTCCTCCTTGGACTGTGGACTTGGGCTTGGTCCCTCTGGAAGCGATGCAGGTGCTGGGGCTGTTTCTGTTGACTGTGAACCGCTGTCCGCTGGTGCACTATGTGGTATTTCAGGCTCCGGCTGAGCCTCTTGGGTAGGGTTATCTGCTGCTTCTGCCAGTTCAGGCTCGCTGGTGCCCTCTGGCGTTGGAGTTGTAGACGGGTTTGCAAATGCTGTACTCAGTGCTGGCAATGGTTCTGGTGCTGGTTGTGTTGCCAGTTCCGGTTCTGGGACTGGCTTTGGCTGGGTCTCTGGGATTGGATCCACTACGGCTGTTTCAGTCGTTGGCAGGGGATCCGGTTCCACCACCTTTGTCTGGGTCTCTGGTAACACCGACGGGGCCCTGGGGGACGGCTCAGGAACAGGGATGGGGGTGAAAGCTTGCTTAGCCTGGCTGCGGGTGACTATTCCCACCCTCTTGGCTAGTTTCACATGGTTGGCCAAGTCTTCCCCCAGCAGCATGGGGATGGGATAATTGTCATAGACTGCAAAAGTCCACATTCTTGACCAGCCCTTGTACTGGACATGCAACTTGGCTGTAGGCAAGGTTACAGACTGTGACATGAAGGGTTGAATTGTCACCGGAGCCTCCGGGTTGATGAGTTTGGGGTCCACTAGGGATTGGTGGATAGTCGACACTTGTGCCCCAGTGTCCCTCCAAGCGATAACCTTCTTTCCGCCCACTCTCAAGGTTTCCCTCCTCTCCGAGGGTATGAGAGAGGCATCTGGGTCTGGGGATCTTTGGTGTGATTCTGGGGCAATGAACTGTAATTAGTTGGGGTTCTTGGGGCAGTGAGCCTTTATATGTCCCAGTTCATTACATTTAAAACATCGCCCTGCTAAGGTATCACCGGGGCGATGTTGGTTGGTGGAGACTGGTGTGGTGGGGTAAGAAGGCGTCTGGGGTTTCCCTTGGGATGTAGGTGGGGTCTTGGGTTGTCCCCGGTGGTAAGGTTTTGTTTCGGGTTGCCCCTTCTGATATTCGCTCCAACTGCTACTAGTTTTTTTTCTTTTCTGCCACCTCCACCCATTTGGCTCCAATCTCCCCCGCCTTGGTTACAGTTTTGGGCTTCCCATCTAGGATGTACTTTTCTATTTCCTCAGGAACACCCTCTAAAAACTGCTCCATTTTTACTAGGGAAATCAGATCTTCCAAAGATTTAACATTTGCTCCTGATACCCAGGCATCACAATTTTTGTCAATGTGGTAGGCATGTCGGGTAAATGACACGTCTGGTTTCCACCTTAGGGCTCTGAACCACCGACTGGCATGCTCGGGTGTTAGCCCCATTCTGAGTCTGGCCTTGTTTTTAAAAAGTTCATAACTGTTCATGTGATCCTTAGGCATTTCAGCCGCCACCTCTGCTAAGGGTCCACTGAGCTGCGGCCTCAGCTCTACCATGTACTGGTCTGTAGTGATGCTGTTTCCAAGGCAGGCCCTTTCAAAATTTTGTAAGAAGGCCTCAGTATCATCGCCTGCCTTGTAGGTGGGGAATTTTCTGGGATGGGAAGTGGTACCTGGAGAGGGGTAGCTAGGATTGGCTGGTATATCCGGCCTAGCCCGTGCTAATTCCAGTTCATGCTTCATCTCTTTTTCTCTCAGCTCCATAGCTCTCTTGTGGGCCTCCTCTTTGGCTTTCTCTTCTCTTTCTCTCTCCTCCATAGCAGCTTCTTTCTCAAGTTTTTTTAATTGGAGCAGTCTCTGATGTTTCTTTTCATTTTCTTCTGCTTCTAGTCTGACCAGTTCTAGTTTGTTAACTACGTCACTGGTACTCATTTTCCTGTTTTCTTGTGCTGGGTCACACCCCCTCTGCAGTTCACTGAAACTGGGATGCACTCAGCTCAGGCTGCTCAGGTAACAGAGACTTTCTTACTAGCTATTCCCGAGAGGTAGAAAGAAAAAAAAACAATTCAGCTTGTAAATTCCTTTTGCCAGCTGTTTGCTCACTGCTTGACCCCTTCTCTTAACAAAGACCCTTGTTAAAAAAACTTAACACCTCTGCCTTCAGGCAAGGAGAGATAAGATATGCATCTACCTTCAGCTCTGCTTTCCAAGCAGCTAGAAAGGAGAAAAAAAAAATCTTACTGGCTTTTGGTTTAAAATGATCCCACCGCTCTGCCACCATGTCAAGGCTGCTTCCCCACTCTGAACTTTAGGGTACAAATGTGGGGGCCTGCATGAAAACTTCTAAGCTTAACTACCAGCTTAGATCTGGTCCAGTGCCACCACTCCCAAAGTGCTAATTCCCTTCCCTGGGTAGCCTTGAGAGACTGTTCACCAATTCCCTGGTGAATACAGATCCAAACCCCTTGGATCTAAAAACAAGGAGAAATTAACCATCCCCCTCCTTTCTCCCACCAACTCCTGGTGGATCAAGATCCAACCCCCTTGGATCTAAAAACAAGGAAAATCAATCAGGTTCTTAAAAAGAAGGCTTTTAATTAAAGAAAAAGGTAAAAATCATCTCTGTAAAATCAGTATGGAAAATAACTTTACAGGGTAATCAAACTTAACGAGCCCAGAGGACCCCCTCTAGCCTTAGGTTCAAAGTTACAGCAAACAGAGATAAACACTCTAGCAAAAAGATACATTTACAAGTTGAGAAAACAAAGATAAAAACTACTTACTTACAAGTTTGAAATATGAGAGACTTGTTCAGAAAGATTTGGAGAGCCTGGATTGATGTCTGGTCCCTCTCAGTCCCAAGAGCGAACAACCCCCAAAACAAAGAGCACAAACAAAAGCCTTCCCCCCGCCACCAAGATTTGAAAGTATCCTGTCCCCTTATTGGTCCTTTGGGTCAGGTGTCAGCCAGGTTACCTGAGCTTCTTAACCCTTTACAGGTAAAAAGATTTTTGGAGTCTCTGGCCAGGAGGGATTTTATAGTATTGTACCCAGGAGGGCTGTTACCCTTCCCTTTATAGTTATGACAATTGGATTAAAAGGAATATTTCAGATAAGAAAATTCCTTTTCTCATTTGTAGTTCTTTGAAGCAGATGAGCAGCACAAACGTTTGGAAGCTGAGCTGAAAAATAGACTTGAGGTTTTGGAAACAGATGCTGCCCAGCATCAAGCAGTGGTGGATAGTTTAACCCGGAAATACACTGATACCATAGAAAAACTGCAGAATGATAAAACCAAATTAGAAGTAAGTTTTTACAATTGTACTTTACTAAAATGCCTAAAAAGTTTTGTAAAGAAAACATTTTTTGCATGTATTAGTACTTACTTTGTGGGGTTCTGTTTTTTGCATAAAGATCAAGTCTCAGACACTAGAAAGAGAAGCTAAGGAATGTAGATTTCGAGCGGAAGAATGGTAAGTTCTTATGTTAAAAATAAATTTTCTTTCATTTTTCTTAAAGTAAACCAACCAGAGAAGTAATTCCTCTGCATTCCTACAGCAATTGGATACCGCCATATACACTCATTCTGGTAAAACAGAGTTACTTAGTGCTCTGTTAGTTTCATGTCACAAGTAACAGTAGTACATGGGTATCAAGCCCACTTTGATTTTATCTAGGAAAAGGAAATGAAATAAATTGATCTCATCTCTACATGTTAATCAGCTACTGTGTTCTCGTAGAGATCTCTCTATCCATCCTCCTTGATATCTGACAAGACAGCAGCTCTTGCACATGTTGTTAAAATCCTGTTATGCAGAGGTCTTTAGTTCAGTGTTCTTTCTTCAGCAAGAATGCTAGGTAGTTTTGAAACTATAAAGCTTGTGAAAAATTGTGGAATTGTTGTTTTAGAGGGATGTTGTCATCGTAGAAGAGACACTTGTCTGAAATGTTATAACTTGTGTAGTTACAAGTAACACCTGTAAATAAGTTTACAGAAGTAAGTTATTGATGGGGTGTGTGTACAATGTCTGAGTAGAATCTTTTATTCTGCAGTATGAGCAATGATCAATGTTTGTCTCAGAGACTTGTGTCTTTATAAAATTCATAACTATTAGATTTCAGTTGAACAAAATACAGGTGAGTAGAAATATGAATAATTATTTTTACAGAGCTCTTTGCTTTGCAGCATAGGCTACTAGGTTATCGGCACTAAATATAGGACTCTGAAATGCTTGTGGCACTTCTGTAACAAGTATGCAACAAATAAATATACTTGTAGCTACCTGAATTATTCCCCACTCACTCACTGTGGAGTGAAACAATGCAGGTTGTTTTCTGACTTGGAGAAGTAAAAGGATCCTAAATGTGACATATTTTGGAACTGAATTAAGTTTTCATATAGTGTGTGTAATACAGTTTAGAAATAATGTAAAGGTTACTTTGACAGTAAATTGACTCTTGGAATGCAACATGGTTATTCAGCTCTCTGGCTTTCTGTGCACTTGTCATTGTATTGGGAGGGGGAAATGAAGAACTTGAAAATCCTGATCACATAAATGTCAGTCCTGCTGTGCCTGTCCTGTGTCTCCTTACTCATATTGCGATCTCTTTCACTCTTTTAAAAACTCTGGAAAAACGTGGACAGTATTTGAACACGGGACCACAGCTTAAGGTATAACTGAGATGTTATTGATTTACTTAAACAAGGTTTGTAATGTTATCCTGTTTTTCTACCCAGTCAGCAGCAGTTAAAGAACCTTCATGCAGATTTGGGTAGGCGATTGGATGACTCTTTATGCATAATCAATGAAAAAGTACCTTTCAATGACACAAGTAGGTATTTCATTGATTTCTCCCCCCCCCCCCCCCAATTCAGTCTTAATTTGGGCATTCCTGTGGAAAAAGTGACCACCTTGTGAATTAAACAGATATTAGGCCCAAAAAACCCAGGAAGCTGAACTGTCTCCCATTACAGCTACTTGTAATGGTGCATTAATGATGCTCGATATATGTAATGTTTAGTTGGCACTTCTATTCTAACTTAGTGGTCTTTAAATATATAAAGCCATTAATTGTGTGGTAAATACAACTTAAAGCTCTATAGAGGGTGTCTTAAACTCTCCTATAACCTACCATCTGATCAACTTAAATTGGACAGAATATTATAAAAAGAGAGGGTAATTCTGTTAATTTACCAAGGCCCTCCCATGGATGGCTCTTTGGGCGGTCATATCCAAGAGGGTTCTGTCAGGCAAAGAGAGTACAGTTGTTAACATAGGTTATTGCTTAGATGGGAGGAGAGTACTACCTGGAAAAAAAATCTCAATGTCAAGTGGCAGTTTCTCAAATGTATAATGGCCTTGCTTGAGGATCCCACAGAAAAGCTTGATGCTTGGTTAAAGCCCAGCAACAAAGGCAAATCTAAACTGAACTCTCCATATCCCAAGTAAGGTCCTAATTTCTCAGATTCTCTAGCATATCCAGCAGTGGGTTTCTTCCTTTCTCCTAGGAGTGTGGAGACAGGTAAGACGATTGAACGTGGCCTGGGCAGGTTTAGGACTACATTTCTCTCTTGACACTACCCACAATTCTCTGCCTCCCGGTAGAGCAAATAGCAGGAAGCAGCCCTCTGTTTTTACTTTTTAAGATGGCTTCACAACTGTACCTTTTATACCTCAATGTCCAGATATTCATCCTAACTCTCTCTTTGCTGAAAAAATACTTTGGGATTTTGACATGGAATTTGACCTGAGTCGGCCTGCCCCTTCTCTTCCCTTCCCCCACCCCATCTGCTGCAAAGTGGCCAAAAAGAAAAAGGACAGGGTGAGGGTCAGAAAGTGCTCAGCTTCTGCATCTCTCCTGTAGCTTCATGTTAAGGGAGAGTTGGCATGCTTTGCCAGGCTCTCCAACAGAAGGGACCGAGCCCAGGCAAGCAGAGAAGGGCAGAATTGTCCTAGAATGTTTTGGAGGATTCTCATCCCATTCTAGGCAACGTATGGTCTGGGTCACAAAGGGCTACTTGGGCAGGCAACAGGATACCCTCTGTTCCCCATAGAGCAGGACTTAGTGCCAGAAGAGCCTGAAGAGAGTGAGGAGAAGAAGCAGCAGCAGTAGTAACAGAATTGCATTGAAGGGCTTTTACCTGTCCTTTGAGCCATCATCCACAGTGGAACAAGTAATGGGCTTAGCAAAGTTAGCTTTCCAAACCTTGAAGTCAGGCTATACAGGATGCCAGGGTCTCTAGGTCCTTGGCAGCTTTGTGGGAAATTTGCTGAGGAACTGGTGACCTGGCTCCTCAACAGCTGTGTTTGTGGGCTGCCACAGGTTAGGAGATGGGAGCCCTTGCTTCCAGGATCCCCAGCAGCTTGTCTGGTGTGTTGCCATGAAGCCAGAGTTCCCAGGGAACATATTTTGTTTTTGAAACACCAAAACATTCACTCCGTAGGGACATTTTGGTGTTTCTGTAATGAAATTCATTTCCTGCAAAAATTTTCAAGGGTTTTGGCCTTTTATCCTGATTTGGGGGACCCATTTTTTCCCAAAACCCTTAGATTTTTTTTCAGAGGTGAAATTCACTTTCCTGCCCAGTCTGTTGCTTATTCACCATCTCACTGCTCTTCAAAAACAGTTCTGGTCTTGCTCTCCCACGTCAGTGTTGCCTAAGCTGAAATCAGTTGTTGCTCTCTTTAAAATTTGGACACAAGATATGTTTGCCATGTTTCTCTTCAACACCTACATGTTCTTCTTTCTGAGGTCTGAGATATCTTTGCTGGTTGGGCTGCCTACAAGGGGAGCTTAGAGTTTTCCTGCATAATTTCTCTTTTCTCGTGAGATTAGGATTCAGTAATCTTGGATACAATTCTTGCTCTTCAGAACAAACAGATGTGACCTACAATACTGTTCATGACAGTTCCTCACGTTTATCACCAGCAAAAAATAAACAAGTTTGTCAAATATAAATAATATAAAAAGGACAGTGCATAAGTTACTTTGAAATACATTGTTTCCTCTTCCTGTGCAAATTGACCTAAAGTATGGATCTCTTCAATTAAACAAAAATCTGAATGTGGATTTCAAATGCTAACAATTGGCCAAATAAGTCTCTGTAAAACTTAAGATGTTTTCTAGCTCTAAATACCCCTTTCCCTGAAGAAGTGGACCCATGCCAAATTGATGCGCACTTTTAATTTAGTGATAGTTTTATATCTAGAATAGCGTGTACTATAATGAAAAACTGAAAATCTCAAAATTACTTTAACTGGTTTATGCCCTTTTATTTTTCTCTTGAAGCACAAGAACAAATTACAAACTAACAAAAAAAAATTGTCAAATATGTAATCTTAAGGAATACATTGCCTTATGTGCCAAATCTGACGTTTTAATAAAAGATCATCTTGAATTCTCAGAAAATGTTTTTTAAAAGTCTGAAAACTCCTTAATGGTAGAAAAGTATTCTTTCTACCCCACTTACTCTGACTCCACCAGTCACTGGATAAATGTTTTTTACTGTCTCTTGTAAGTTTTGGCCTTAAATTTGGGTTTTTAGACTGTTAAAAACTAGGGCTGTCAAGCGATTAAAAAAATTAATCATGATTACCGTATATACTCGTTCATTAGCCCGTTCGTTTATAAGCTGACCCCCCAAGATAGTTAGGTAAAAATAGCAAAAACTGTATGACCCTTTCATAAGCTGATCCTGTATTTCAGGGGTTGGCAAACTTTGGCTCCTGGCCAGTTAGGGTAAGCTGCTAGTGGACCTGGACATTTTGTTTATCTGGAGCATTCACAGGCATGGAGCCCCTCGGCTCCCAGTGTCCGCAGTTTGCTGCTCCCAGCCAACGGGACCTGCGGGAAGTGGCGCGCCACTTCCTGCAGCGCCCATTGGCTGGGAATGGCGAACCGCGGCCACAGGGAGACGAGGGGCTCCATGCCTTCAGACTCTCCAGGTAAACAAAATGGCAATGTATTAGATATTCAATTCAATGATTCCATAGAGTTTAAAATCATCAAATTTTGGTGTAGACTCGTTTATAAGCCGATCCCCACTCTTTGATGCGTCACTTTTTTACCAAAAATATTCGGCTTATGAACGAGTATATGGTAAGTTAGGGTATATTAAGTTAGGGATTAATCGCACTGTTAATAATAGAATACCATTATTGAAATATTTTTGGATATTCTACATTTTCATATATATTGATTTCAATTACAACACAGAATACAAAGTATACAGTACTCACTTTATATTTTTTTTGATTACGTGTATTTGCACTGTAAAAAAACAAATTGAATTTTTCAATTCACCTAATACAAGTATTGTAGTGCAATCTCTTTATCATGAAAGTTGAACGTACAAATGTAGAATTATATACAGAAAATAACTGCATTCAAAAATAAAACCATGTAAAACTTTAGAACCTGCAAGTCCACTCAGTCTTACTTCTTGTTCAGTCAATCACTCGGAGAAACAAGTTTGTTTACATTTTCAGGAGATAATGCTGCCCACTTCTTGTTTACAATGTCACCTGAAAATGAGAACAGGCATTCTCATGGCACTGTTGTAGTTGGCATCGCAAGATATTTACGTGCCAGATGCGCTAAAGATTCATATATCCCTTCATGCTTCAACCACCATTCCAGCGGACATACATCCATGCTGATGATGGGTTCTGATTGATAACAGTCCAAAGCAGTGCGGACCGACACATGTTCATTTTCATTATCTGAGTCAGTTGCCACCAGCAGAAGGTTGATTTTTCTCTTTTGGTGGTTCAGGTTCTATAGGCACTTGAGATTCTTAAACCTTGGGTCGAGTACTGTAGCTATCTTTCGAAATCTCACATTGGTACCTTCTTTGCATTTTGTCAAATCTGCAGTGAAAGTGTTCTTAAAATGTGCTGGGTCATCATCCGAGACTGCTATAACATGAAATACATGGCAGAATGTGGGTAAAACAGAGCAGGGGACATACAATTCTGCCCCAAGGAGTTCAATCACAAATTTAATTAACGCATTATTCTTTTAATGAGTGTCATCAGCATGGAAGCATGTCCTCTGGAATGGTAGCCGAAGCATGAAGGAGCATACGAATGTTTAGCATATTTGGCACGTAAATTCCTTGCAATGTCGGCTACAAAAGTGCCATGCAAATGCCTCACTTTCTGGTGACGTAGATCAGAAGAGGGCAGCATTATCTCCTGTAAATGTAAACAAACTTGTTTGTCTTAGCGATTGGCTGAACAAGAAATAGGACTGAGTGGACTTGTAGGCTCTGAAGTTTTACATTGTTTTGGTTTTGAGTGCAGTTGTGTAACAAAAAAAAGTCTACATTTGTAAGTTGCACTTTCACAACACAGAGATTGCACCATAGTACTTGTATGAGGTGAATTGAAAAATACTATTTCTTTTGTTTATCTTTCACAGTGCAAATATTTGTAATCAAGAACAATATACCTGTTCATAAGCCAAATTTTTTAGTAAAAAAGGGAAGCACCAGAGGAGGGGGTCTGCTTATTAAAGGGTATAAAGAGGGAGAGGTGGGACACGGTGTAGCGGCACAAACAGCAACCCTCCACTTTTGCAACTAGCTGCATTTTCTGACACACAAAAGTGAAGGTTACTGGGCATGCTCAGTTCAGGTGAGCATGCTCAGTGCACCCAAAGTAGGGAATTGGGAGAGGGAGCTTTTTGTGTCATCACACCGGTCCGCTGGAGCACGGTGCGGCCGTGCCACCCGGCCCAACCCGCTGGAACATGCTGCGGCCGAGCTGCCCGGTCTGGCCTGCCGGAGCAGGCTGCAGCCAGGCCAGAGACATCCTCCCCAGATAAGGTGGGAAGGGATGGGATGGGGAGAGTGTGGGGGTCCCGGGCTAGGGGTGGGGGGTGGTCACGGGTTACTCCCCTGACCCCCAGCTTCTCTCCCCCCACACCCCCCCAACATTTTCCCACCAGTTGCTCTTCCGGCCCGTCAGGGTAAGCAGCTGGTGCGCCGGTTTACTTAGGTTTACCTCCGTGCTTACGGACGCTCGGGTAAACAAACCATCTCAGCCCACCAGTGGCTTATCCTGATGGCCTGGGAGCCAAAGTTTGCTGATCCCTGAATTATAGGGTCGGCTTATGAACAAGTCATAAAAAATTTCCATTTTTACTTATCCATCTTGGGGGGAGGGGTCGGCTTATAAATGAACCGGCTTATGATCGAGTATATACTTTTGATTTGAATTTCAACACAGAATACAATATATATAAAAATGTAAAAACATCCAAAATATTTAATACATTTCAGTTGGGATTCTATTGTTTAACAGTGCGATTAATTTTTTTGAGTTAATCGTATGAGTTAACTGCGATTAATCGACAGCCCTATTAAAAACCATAAAAATCCAGATTTAGAATGGAAGTGCCATTTCAGCCACTACTTGGTCATAGTAATGATCCTAATGTGGGGATATTCATTGTGACTTTTTCGAAAATCAAATGATTTTTTGTTCAGGTATATACTGTTTGGTATCAGCTACAATTTTTCTTTGCCAAATCTGTAAAATTTATTTTAAACTCAGTGACGTTGTGGTAATGCAGACTAAACATTACATTTATCAGATTTCATTGTTAGACTGTCACAAGAATTTAATGTAAAAACAGGACTCCATTATTTGTATGTGTAACTGTCAATTTTTGGCTTGTAGGATCTAGTCAATATAATGCTCTTAATGTACCATTACACAATAGAAGATGTCAGGTAAGTAATAACCTTACATGGCTTAACCTGTAAAAGTCTATTGTTTTTTTACATAAATGAAATATGAATGTTTAAGACAAAAATGTAAATATCCTATTGAGCCTGACACTGAGCAATAAGCCAGCAGGCTATTTCGGCTGCACTGCTTTTATTACACTTCAGTGCAATTCCCTCCTCGAATCCTTTTTATTTTACAAAAGCACAGATCATTCACGTTCCACTGCTGTGCTCTGGGCAGGCCCAGTGGAGGAGTGCTATGTTGCCCAGAGGCCCCACCTTCACGTATCATAAAGTTCCGGATCAGAGCAAGTCCACTTGCAGTTGATTGGTGGTTATACTACTATTGTGTTTTGCTGGTGCTTTTGCTGAGGATGTGGGCTGATGCTGCTTCCATGGCTCTGCTAGGGTCATGGAAGGGAAGAGGAACCACTGGATGTAGTATGAAGGTTCCTGATTACAGCATGCAGGGATTCCTTCAGAAAGATTGCTATGACTGCCCTCTGCTCTTCAGGAGCCTCTCTGAAGAGAATGGGCTCACTGTCTCTGTGGCCGTATCCAAGCTGGGAGTGAATGGATGGCTGCCACTGGCCTGTTTTGTGATGGAGATAGTCTAGTTCCAGGCAATTGCTGAGTGGTAGGGTCTGGCTGAACCAATACTTGAAGTGACCTCCCTTTTTGGGCTGTGGGAATATGGTGTCAGTCAATCTCTGACCCTGCCTCTGATACAGAAGCAGATCCATACTGGTTGGTCACTAATCTACAATCTTGAAAATCTGTTTTCAGGGCAGATTTTTGCACTTGTAGTTTTTTTTGCATTAATGAGGTTCTACTGTAATTGCACCGATTGAAATACACAGGGGACACCAAAATAGGAGGAGGCGAGTGGAGTGTTTGGGGTAGGTTAGGGAAATAGACAATAAAAAGAAATGTATGAGGTACTATATCTGGGGAGACTCAACGAACAGTGAAATTTTATAACATAGATTTTGTCTAGACAGGACAGAATAAGGAAAAAAAAACCATGGGGTGATTGTAATAAGTTGTGAAGGTAGGGTCACAGGATACATCTACAGCAAAGCACCACCAGAAAACTAGGTTACATGAAAAGGAATATACTGTCTTAAGTTAAAGACTTTCTTAAGCTATTCTTGGGATATTGTGTGCAATTTTGTAGTAATAGGCATGATGGCTTGGTTTAAAAAGTTACTTTGGAACAGATTCACAAAGGTATTTTGGCATCTAAAGATTTAGATAGGTGCCTAGTGGCTTTTAGTAAAGCACCTAAGCAAGTTTCAGTGGGAGTCCTATGCCTAATGTGCATAGGTGACTTATTAAATCCCACTCAGTGCCTATCTACATCTTTAGGTGTTGAACTCCCATTGAAGCTTTTTTAAATGCAGCTAGGCACCTAAATACCTTTTAAATTTGGCCCCTTGTTATTGAGTTTCTAAATATTGAAATACTTAAATTATAAAATGAAAGTAGTTTAGAAAATGGGTACAGCAAAATGCTGGTGCAATGCTGCATGATATAAAAGCATTCTGTATCTTTCATAGAGTGGCATTCTGCAATTCCAGATGCCTTTGTTGTCCCACCGCACAACATGTTAAGACCCACATTTTAAAACATGGTAAACATTAAAACCATATACGCTGATCTCTGGACACAGTCCTGTCCTGTCCTTCAGGCAGAAAGATCTAAATTGCAATAGGGAGTCAAACTTGATTGGAGTTATAGATAATAAAAACTGTTCTTGTCCCATCTAATTATAAGCAGTATTGTTTTAAGGTCTCCATTGAAATAAATTGTATTTGTTGTAACTGAAATATACCAACTATAACTGTTTGTGTTAAAGCTGAAGTTGCGGGACATTGCTGGTCAGGCTTTGGCTTTCGTTCAGGATCTTGTGACAGCACTTCTGAACTTTCATACTTACATGGAACAGAGAGTCCAGATTTTTCCCATTGATTCTGCCACTGATACTATATCGCCATTAAATCAGAAGGTAAACTTATTTTTTTCAGTTAATATTGTACAGAAACTTGATTACCTTATACTTTGGCCTGTTCCTGATCTCCTCTGATCACTCTCATGGGAAACACCTTATCCTTCCCTTATTGGAGCAACATTAGATAGAACATTGGATAGAAAGCTGGCTAGATCGTCGGGCTCAACGGGTAGTGATCAATGGCTCCATGTCTAGTTGGCAGCCGGTTTCAAGCGGAGTGCCCCAAGGGTCGGTCCTGGGGCCGGTTTTGTTTAATATCTTTATTAATGATCTGGAGGATGGTGTGGACTGCACTCTCAGCAAGTTTGCAGATGACACTAAACCGGGAGGCGTGGTAGATACACTAGAGGGTAGGGATCGGATACAGAGGGACCTAGACAAATTAGAGGATTGGGCCAAAAAAAACCTGATGAGGTTCAACAAGGACAAGTGCAGAGTCCTGCACTTAGGACGGAAGAATCCCATGCACTGCTACAGACTAGGGACCGAATGGCTGGGTAGCAGCTCTGCAGAAAAGGACCTAGGGGTCACAGTGGACGAGAAGCTGGATATGAGTCAACAGTGTGCTCTTGTTGCCAAGAAGGCTAACGGCATTTTGGGCTGTATAAGTAGGGGCATTGCTAGCAGATCGAGGAACGTGATCGTTCCCCTTTATTCGACATTGGTGAGGCCTCATCTGGATTACAGTGTCCAGTTTTGGGCCCCACACTACAAGAAGGATGTGGAAAAATTGGAAAGAGTCCAGCAGAGGGCAACAAAAATGATTAGGGGTCTGGAGCACATGACTTATGAGGAGAGGCTGAGGGAACTGGGATTGTTTAGTCTCCAGAAGAGAAGAATGAGGGGTGATTTGATAGCTGCTTTCAACTACCTGAGGGGGGGTTCCAAAGAGGATGGAGCTCGGCTGTTCTCAGTGGTGGCAGATGACAGAACAAGGAACAATGGTCTCAAGTTGCAGTGGGGGAGATCTAGGTTGGATATTAGGAAAAACTTTTTCACTAGGAGGGTGGTGAAGCACTAGAATGCGTTACCTAGGGAGGTGGTGGAGTCTCCTTCTTTGGAGGTTTTTAAGGCCCGGCTTGACAAAGCCCTGGCTGGGATGATTTAGTTGGGAATTGGTCCTGCTTTGAGCAGGGGGTTGGACTAGATGACTTCCTGAGGTCCCTTCCAACCCTGATATTCTATGATTAATAATTTCTGAAGGAGCAGTCTGTCTTCTTCAGAGGGTCACTGCTGTGACAGGAATCCTTTGGGTGCAGGAAAGGGGATGGTTGTAGAGAATCCTGTTTTCCCCCCTCCCTGTGCCTTCACTACATGAGCAGTACAATGGTCAAAACAAGGCTCTCCTAGAAGCATAGAAGCCAAACTAAATTGCATTTATGAAATGAGCCAGCAGATTACCTTCAAATATCTAAGTATTACATTACCTGAGAGCTGTCCTTTCTTTTTAATAGCTGCTATAAGAATATTTTGAGAGATGGAGGAACATGAGGATGAGAAGAATGTGAGGAACAGAGAAAGGCCTAGCTAACTGTATACATTTACATCTCTGTAATAGGAAACTAAAAGGGAGTATTAGAGGTGGAAGTGTTATGGTTCGCATACAATTAACTTTTGAACTCTGTTTCCAAGTTATTCATTGTCTTACTGTCTGATCTTGGGCTACCTGTCTGTTTAACCATGCTTTTGTTCTAGAGGGATTATAAAGCTTTGTGTCCGTACAGTGCTTTGAGCTACCCTGTTTCCCCGAAAATAAGACAGTGTCTTATATTAATTTTTGCTCCCAAAGATGCGCTAGGTCTTATTTTCAGGGGAGGTCTTATTTTTCCTGGAGCTTCGGGGCCTTATATTCCGGGGTGGCCTTATTATCGTGGAGGTCTTATTTTCGGGGGGATGCCTTACATTACAGCGAGAGGCAAAACTGGAAGTAGGTCTTATTTTCGGGGGATGTCTTACTTTCGGGGAAACAGGGTATTCTTAGGGCTTGTCTACACTGGCAATTTACAGCGCTGCGACTTTCTTGCACAGGAGTGTGAAAAAACACCCCACTGAGTGCAGCAAATTTCAGCGCTGTAAAGTGCCAGTGTAGACAGTGCCCCTCGTGGAGGTGGTTTTTGTTTTTTTTGTTTTTTTTTTGTTTTTTTTGTTTTTTAAGAGCGCTGGGAGAGCAGCGCTGCACCACGACCACACAAGCCACGTTAAAGCGCTGCCACGGCAAACTAGCCCTTAGATGGAAGTGACTGTGGAAGGGGTTGTATAGAAAACATTAATACTACCTGCAATGAAATCTTTTCCTACAGCATAATATGTTGTTCAGAGTTGTTGAGCATATTCCATGTGATTGTCTGTTTCTTTCTATGGGACAAAGCTCAGAAAATAACTTTGTCTACCCACACTTTGCTGTAACCCAGAGCTGTCACTGCTCTGAGATGTTGGACCTAGACTTTCAATGCCCAGAATAGCACTTAAATGGTTGGACAACCCAGTTTACTTTTGGCTTCTGTAACTGTGGAAGGCTTTTCTATTCTTTAGCCTTCTTATCTAATAGTTTGGGCTTCTAATATATTCCAAATTATTTAGCTTGGGTACTAAGCTAAAAGTTATCAACTTCTCCACTCTCAAGGTCGCTAATACTGTTGCTCTAACTATTAATTAAATAGCTCTGCACTTCGAGCTACAAGAATTAGCTTTTTAGTAATTGGTTCTGTGGTAGATTTCAGGAGCAGAACAGAAAATAGATTAAAAAGTCAGACACTTTTAACATCCGATTTACTTGCATTCCTCTATGTACAGTGCAGTGTTAATTTAACTTCCAAAGTGCAGTTGCACTCTGAAAAGTGACACTGCAGTAACAGCACAATCTTACATTGATCTGGTCCCTTTGTATGGTCAGTGCCATATCAACTGACTTAAATAACAAATTCTTCCTTTTTACAAATCCTTATAGCACTGCAAAGGCAACACAGCTGAGTGTGTAAGCTGTTCGTACGTGGTCTTCTACATCCCAATAATTGTTGACATTCCAGTCACTTACACCTATGCAAACACATTGAAGACTAGGCCACTATACCGGTATCTTTGGGGGTTTAGTGCCCCGCAGAACTTTCCTTGGTGGTGGTATGATGGCAGATCCGACCCAGCTTGACTCTGAGTCCATGGTGAATTTGCAGAGCTGGCTATTGGAAAAACTCATTTTTACTTGTGAATTGAACACATTTGGTTTGAAAATCATTGAAACACAAAATAGCAATTCGCAATAGCCCCTTGTCTAAAATTGCTGTGCAGAGCAGGTCTGCATAATTCAATTTAAGTGAATTTAGTAGTTGTGTAAGTATCCAGCTGGACAGTTATGAAGCCTGATATTATCTTTTATCCACAGAACAGACATGGCGTGGGCAATGGCGATGTAAACTATCTCAAACTGTTCACAATTGGCACCTCTGGGTACTACTGCAATGCTGTGACTGGGGTCCTAGTGGGGAGCTAGCTGTGGTCACTCAATTAGGGTGTCAAGTATCAGAGGGGTAGCCATGTTAGGCCAGATCTGTAAAAAGCAACAGAGTCCTGTGGCACCTTTAAGACTAACAGATGTAGGGTGAACTGCAAAGAATGAGGCAGACAATCCCCAAAAAGCTGGTGGATATTCCAATACTTAGATTCACCAAACCAGCACAAACAGCTTCTTTATTACTTTACTTGTTACTCAGAAGTCCAAACAACACAGTTCCCTTAAAGTGATCCAGCCTCAGGCTCCCATCCAGGTACCCACATCAAATATGATGAAAATTTCTGTAAATCTTATTTCATCGTATAAAATAACAGGTTCTACCAATCCCAAAGGATCGGACACATTACCTCCCAGGTTAATGAATGTTTCAGATCTTACCCAAATACACACTACAGCCAATTCTTATTAACTAAACTAAAATTTATTAAAAAACGAGAGAGAGAGAGAGAGTATGGTTAAAAGATCAATATACATAGACATGAGTTCAATCTATTGAGGTTCAGATTCATAGCAGAGATGTTGAGCTTCATAGTTGCAAAGAGTTCCTTTAGAATTCAGTTCATAGGTTATAGTCCAATGTCCAAATCTCATATTCAGGCGTACCAGCATAACTGGGACCTCAGTCTTGCGACTCAAACTTCCCCTGATAAAGTCAAAGCAGATCTGAGATGACAGAATCAGGACCCAAGGATCTTTTATACAATTTTATGTCCTCTTTGACAAGTTGGGAGTTCCTCAGGGAACAAAAGGTAATTAGGATGACTTTGAAGGATGTCTATCCTGGGTACTTAGCTATAGGAATTAACATAAGGCCATTTGCTTGTTCCTCCACCATTCACAGTACATTCCAAAAAGAGATGAATACCAACATATCCCGTGTTTACAATTCATTTAAATGATAGGATCTTCTTTTGAGCTCTGAATTATCAGAATACAGCATAGACAGGGACTATTGATTACATTGTCCACCCTACTCATACATATGTAAATACACAAAAACACAATCATTATCTCCCCACATCTTCTGTGGGGTACTTATTTTGCAGGATGTTTAGCCCTTTCTAGCCATGCATACAAACTTTAAATGAATAAAATCCGATTTCTTAGGCCTTGGCTACACTTGGGAATTCACAGCGGCAGCGCTGTGAAGCGCGAGTGTAGTCGCGCCGCCAGTGCTGCGAGAGCTCTCACAGCGCTGTATGTACTCCATACAGTAGCTTGCAGTGCTGCGAGCGAGCGTGCAGTGCTGCAGGCGCTGATTACACTGGCGCTTTACAGCGCTGCGCTCGGGGGGGGGGGTGTTTTCACACCCCTGAGCGCAGCAAGTTGCAGCGCCGTACAGCGCCAGTGTAGCCAAGGCCTTAGTGAAGAGTTGTCCCTTCTTGATAGAGATTTATCTTCGTCAACACATTTGGAAATAGTTGTTAGCAGGGAAAGGTGCCTCCACTGGTACAAACTGATACTCAAATCACTGCTGCTATTTGATCCTTCAGTTTCTAATAGTCTCTGATCCAGTAGTTTAGTTGTTTTTTTTCTTCTTCTGTCCTCTGAGCCTTTTCTGTGACCTGGTCTTATTCTCACCCTTTCATGGTCTAATTGTTGCAATACACTCTTGTTTCCAGTGCTTCCTCTGTGGCTCTCCAACAGTTGAGTATCTCATGTCAAAGCTTCTCCTGAAGCTTTCTTTTATTATCTGCTTGACAAGTGTGATCTCAGTTTCTCCACTGAGTTGTCCAAAAATGTCCCCCCTCTGTGCTATGGAATTCTCATAACGCTAGTGTCATGAAGTGGGTTAGCACACACTTACTGATGTATTTTCCCCCAACTCCAGGTTTTGTCTGATGCTTTCAAGCTATTCCTAAACTTTGAGAGTAGATGTGGATAGTTCTAGGTTCAAGTATTACTTTTTTCTTTGTGTATTCAGCATCAGACCAGATAGCTCCAAGTCCTGACAATACAACTCGAGAACATTCTGCTTGTGGTACTTCAACATCCTTAGATTTACCAGTTGCCCTTTGTTTAATCCTTTTTTGTGCATGTCTGAATGTCAAGAGCTCTAAGCACCACTTTCCTCTTGTTAACATTAGACTACATTGCATCACACTTTTTTTATTTTTGTAGGGTCCTTACAATATATCTGGTAGGGGCTTCTAGATGCTACTGCAATATAAATAATACCTGTGGGTAAATGAAGCCAAATCCTTTTATGGGGGAAATAAAAAAAAAAAAAAAAAAGTTTACTTTGAATTATTATGGCTTCAGTCAGGATTTGTAGAATAAATTGCTTAAAAATTCTGTGCTGTCAGTACAGTTGAAAGCCAGTGTTATTCTTATGCATCATCATGGGTTCATAACCTAATAAGAATGCACATCTTAAAAGCACTATTGTTCTAAAGTAGACCTCTTTGGAGGAGAAAGTTGTCATAACACTTTTTTTAAAGGGTTCTTAATGAAGCTTTACTTTTAAGGCAGCTCATTAGTTTTCTGTAAGTGAGCTTTAGGGAGATAGAGGTTCTGACTACTGTGCATAGCCATAAAAAAATTCCATTTTCCTTTTCTGAGGTATTTGCTCCAGTATCCCTGACCAGAATTTGCTTTGTGTCTTTTCCTCCCCAAAATAGTGCAGGGTATGGCTGCCCATCAGTAGGGGTGTATACCTTTTGTGAAGCACTTTGGGATCCTTCACAATGAAAAGTGCTATATTAATGTGAAATATTCATCTGTCAGCTTTGAGCAGTCTGTAATCTTTACTAGCAAGTGCCACTTAAACCTCTTTGTATTCAGTTCTCACAGTATCTTCATGAAAATGCATCCTATGTCCGTCCTTTGGAGGAAGGAATGCTTCACTTGTTTGAGAGTATTACAGAAGATACGGTGACTGTGCTGGTAATATTTTTGATCATATTTTTTCCTGATGAAAAATAAATCTTTACTGTGCAAATAGCTCTTAAATCTGGTTATCTTTTCCTTAGGAAACAACTGTGAAATTGAAGGTCTTTTCTGAACATTTAGCTTCCTACACATGTTTTCTCAGGAAGATTCTTCCTTATCAGTTAAAAAGGTATTTTCCTCTTGAAATCTGTTGTGTTCTAGCTTGTATTACCAACCCCAACTCCTCAAAAGTCATCAGCCCACCCTCAAAACACCATTCAATTGGCTTAAAAAACACGAGATTTAAAAAAAAAAAATATTTTAGGGTTTTCTGGCTTTCTGGCTTTTGAGGCAGTAGGCAGCATTTGGGACACACTTGCCAGGTTTTGCCTGCAACCATGAGGCCTAGAGACTTACATTTGAAAAAAGAAAGCTGAAGTTCTCATGGTTGCAGTCGCTATGAGTTTGGGGAAAAATAACAAATATTGTGAATCTTGTGATAAATCCATGAGATTTGACAACTGTGGAATCACTTTAAGTGAGGTTGTTTACTGAAATCATTGATTTCCTGGGTCTGCCCCAGGCTTGGATATTTGTCATGGAATACTTATGGCATCTTCGAATTTGCACCTGTAAAACAAAGCCACATGCCTGTCCCCTTTGCAGGTTGTCTTCTTTATCTCCTTATTCCTGTGCAGATCTTATTTCCTGCCCCATTGGGTGGGTTGGAAGGGAGGTGGATTGTGCCTTCAAAATAATACTCAAAATTGGGGTATGGGCTAGGAGGTGTGGAAGGAGAGAAAGGTCTTGTCCTACCCCTATCCCCTCCCCCAAAAAACCCTTGATCACTTTGTGGGATGAGGAAGGGACAGATGGATTATCTTCAACTTGATAGGACAGTCGTCTTCCTGAGAATGCCTTTTCTCATTGTTTCCTTGTCCTCCAGAAGCTGGATATGAGTCAGCAGTGTGCCCTCATTGTCAAGAAGGCCAACGGCATATTGGGCTGTATTAGTAGGAGCATTGCCAGGAGATCGAGGGAAGTGATTATTCCCCTCTATTTGACACTGGTGAGGCCACACCTGGAGTATTGTGTCCAGTTTTGGTCCCCTCCACTGCAGAAGAGATGTGGACAAATTGGAGAGAGTCCCACGGAGGGCAACGAAAATGATTAGGGGGCTGGGGCACATGATTTACGAGGAGAGGCTGAGGGAGCTGGGGTTATTTAGTGTGCAGAAGAGAAGAGTGAGGGGGGATTTGATAGCAGCCTTCAACTACCTGAAGGGGGGTTCCAAAGAGGATGGAGCTAGGCTGTTCTCAGTGGTGGCAGATGACAGAACAAGAAGCAATGGTCTCAACTTGCAGTGCAGGAGGTCTAGGTTGGATATTAGGAAACACTATTTCACTAGGAGGGTGGTGAAGCACTGGAATGGGGTTACCTAGGGAGTGGAGGACTCTCCATCCTTATTGGTTTTTAAGGCCCAGCTTGACAAAGCCTTGGCTGGGATGATTTAGTTGGTGTTGGTCCTGCTTTGAGCAGGGGATTGGACTAGATGACCTCCTGAGGTCTCTTCCAACCCTAATATTCTATGATTCTACTCCCCCATCTGTTGTCTCTTATTTTATACTTAGATTATAAGATCTTTGTGGCAGGACTGTCTCTATTTTGTTTGTACATTGCCTAGCTCAATGGGGTCCTGTTCCATGCCTGAGGCTACTAGATGCTAAGATACTACAAATAATAAATAAGTCATTAACAGGAAAAAAAATGAAGCACCAGTATGGTGGGTACTGGAAGTGGAAAAAGATCTTTTTTTCCATTATTCATAGGTTATGAATAATCTAAAATTATCTAAAGTACTCCTAGTTGATCCATATGCTGCGGAAGATCAACACAGCCCTTGTAAAGTGAAATCATGCCTCATCAATCTATCAGGATTCTTTGAGGGTGTCAACAAGAATGTGGACAGGAATGATCCAGTTGATATGGTGTACTTGGACTTTCAGAAAGCTTTGATAAGGTCCCATACCAAAGGCTCTTGAGCAAAGTATGCAGTCATGAGATAAGAGGGAAGGTCCTCTCAATGATCAGTGACTGTTAAAACATAAGAAACAAGGGGTAGAAATAAATGGTCAGTTTTCGCAATGGAGAGAGGTAAATAGCGGGCTTCCCCAAGATCTGTACTGGGACCTGTGCTATTCAACATATTCATAAAAATATGTGGAAAAAGGGGTAAACAGAGAGGTGGCAAAATTTGAAGATGATAGTTAAGTCCAAAGCTAACTGCGAAGAGTTACAAAGGGATTTGACAAAATGGCAGATGAAATTCAGTGTTGATAAATGCAAAGTAATGCAGGTTGGAAAACATTAATCCCAATGATGCATACAAAATAAGTGGTAACAACTAATTTAGACCCCATCAAGAAAGAGATCTTGGAGTCATGGTGGATATTTGTCAGAAAACATCTGCTCAATATGCAGCAGCAATCAAGCCCCCTCACCCCGCCCCCCCCCCAAAAACTAACAATGTTAGGAACGCTATCAATAATAAGAAAATATAATGACACTATATAAATCCCTGTTTGCCCACGCCTTGAATACTACATACAGTTCTGGTCAACCCATCACAAAAAAAGATATATTAGAATTGGAGAAGATTTAGAGAAGGGGAACAAAAATGATTAGGGTATGGAACAGATTCCATATGAAGAGAGGTTTAAAAAGACTTGGAATGGTTAGTTTAGAAAAGAGACAACTAAGAAGGGGATATGATGGAAGTTTTTTATAAAATCATGGATGGTGTGGAGAAAGTGAACAGGCAAGTGTTGTTTCCCTCTTTATGTAACACAAGAACTAGGGGGGTCACCCAATGAAATTAATAGGCAGCAGGCTTAAAACAAACGCAAGGAAGTACTTCCTCACACAACACACAGTCAACTGTGGAACTCGTTGCCAGAGAATGTTGTGAAGGCCAAAAGTATAACTGGATTCAAAAAAAGAATTGGATAAGTTCGTGGAGGATAGATCCATCAATGTTTGGCCTTGGCTACACTTGCAAGTTACAGCGCTGTAAAGCCTACCCCAGCGCTGTAACTCACTCCCCGTCCACACTGGCAGGGCACTTACAGCGCTGTATCTCCCTGGGTACACCGCTGCAGGTACTCCACATCTCCGAGAGGAATAACAGCTGCAGCGGAGTGGCTACGACTCACGGGTGTGAGTGTAAACGCTTGCAGCGCTGTACTAATCACCTTGTCAAGTGGCCAATCCTCTCCATTGTTGTGACCGGCTGCAGGAATGTGGAAGTGCCGGTTTCAAAGCTCGTACCACAGAGAAAAGCAAACAGTTTGCAGCTTGCTTTGAGTGAGTAAATGAATGAGCAGGGGGCCGGGAGTTCGGAACTTGCAAAATAGAGAGCTGACATGCTCCAAAAAGCACTCTCGCTCCCCCCACACTCCCTGTCACAATCCACCCCACCCTCCCGTTTTGAAAAGCACGTTGCAGCCACATGAATGCTGGGATAGCTGCCCATAATGCACAGCTCCCAACGCAGCTGCAAGTGTGGCCACACCACTGCGCTGGCAGCTGTCAGTGTGGACAGACTGCAGTGCTTTTCCCTACTCAGCTGTACGAAGACAGGTTTACCTCACAGCGCTGTACAGCTGCAAGTGTAGCCAAGGCCTTTGTTAGCCAAGGTGGTCAGGGATTCAATCCCAGGCTCTGGGTGTCCCTAAACCTCTGACTGCCAGAAGCTGGGACTGGATGAGAGGGGATGGATCACTTAAGTGCCCTATTCTGTTCATTCCCTCTGAAGCACATGGCATTGGCCACTGTTGGAAGACAGGGTACTAGGCTGGATGGACCATTGGTCTGACCCACTATGGCCCTTTTTATGTTCTTATAAAGAAATAAAATTCTCAGCCCGTTTCTTTCTTGTTGCTTCTCTGACTCAGAATTTAAACAGCAGCAGAGACGTTTATCCTGTTGATTATGAAAATTTTGCATTTGTTTGGCAAGATATTCACTTTAAAAATATATTCATATATTCCTAGTTTGGAAGAAGAGTGTGAATCTTCTCTTTGCACAGCTGCTTTAAGAGCCAGGAATCTGGAGCTCCACAATGATATGAAGAAGATTACTGCAGTCTTTGAGAAGTTACACGTATACATTAGTCTTATTGTCTTACCAAGTAAGTGTCCATTATGGCTCCAATCTGTTTGAATATGAAGGATGCTAATGCTTCCTGGTTTTGAACCAACCATATGCAAATATGAAACACAAAAATAGGTCTTCACGGGACATCATAATGCACTCGCTAAGCTATAGGTGTTACACGTTAAATGCTGTTTGTAGAAAAAAGATGAAATGGGCCATTAGCTTTTGTAGTATAATCACTTGTTCCTTTATATCTTATACTGGCTTAAAAAGCCTACAGGAGAGCATTCAATCTTCAATTATTAGGTCAGAACCTTCTAGCACTTCCTCATCACCACCAAAACAGCCAGCTTCCCCCCGCCCCTCACAAAAACAAAATACAACCCAAACAAATTTATAAGGTATCTTTCTAACTATAGTAGTATGTAAGTAAACACAAAAAAAATCACGTAAACATCAGTTTAATGCTGTAAAATAAACATTGAAATATATAGTGGCAAAGTAAAAGAAGCAGCAAATGAGGTGTAACTGATCACTGGATTGACCCTAATTGACCCTTAATAGAGGAAAAAAGGGCTCCTGGTAAAAATAACCATTATCTTGGATAGTAAAAGATATTGCAACAACTGTGTAGATTTCATACTACATAGTGAATTGGTTTTCAAACCAAAATACTCTGGTGTAATTGCAATGTCTGAGCAAAATCTAAAGTTTAAAAGCCTGACTTGCTTGTGTTAGCAAAATTCAATTTTTTTAAAAAAAAAGATTTCATTAATAATTATGGGTCAAGTTCAGTTAACAAGTCTTGCTTCCTCAGTGCTAAAGATAAAACCTGCAAATATTTCCACCATTCAGAAACCAGATAACTTTCAGGGTTTGATATATTTTTTAAATTGATCATTGAATATAGACTTGTCAACTTTCTTGCATGGTTTTTAGGTATAAAACCAGAAGGGCTGCTTCGGAGAAATTACAGTTCAGTATTCACACACGTTGCTGCAGGTCTTCATGGATTTCATAATGTTATGAAAGGTGAGAATAAACGAGGGGTAAGCAATTTTAAATGGGCCATATCTTAATTATTGAATGCCTGGTTTTGAAAGTAAGGCTAAGTATATCTACATCCAGTAACTTAGCTTGTAAAGGGTTATGTTAAAGGTTGAAAGACCTAAAATTAGACCACCCAACATAATTTTAGTTTGCAGGTTTGTGTATGCGTATTGTGGTGCCTCCACTGTTCTGGTTGTCGCATTCATTCTTGTGAGTAGGCTGGGTATTAAAATAGACAATAATACTGCTCTGGGTGCTTCAGAGAGCAGGATTCTTCTGGTTTCAGTGCTCTGCTCACTCTAATGAAACTGACATGTAGAGTGGAAGGACAATGAAATGTACATCCTATAATCATAGGACTGGAAAGGACCCTGAGAGGTCATCTAGTCCCCTGCATTCATGCCAAGACTAAGCATTATCTAGACCATCCCTGACAGGTGTTTGTCTAACCTGCTCTTAAAAATCTCCAATGATGGAGATTCCACAACCTCCCTAGGCAATGTATTCCAGTGCTTAACCACCCTGACAGGAAGTTTTCCTAATGTCCAACTTAAACCTCCCCTGCTGCAATTTAAACCCATTGCTTCTTGTCCTATCCTCAGAGGTTAAGAACAATTCTTCTCCCTCCTCCTTGTAACAACCTTTTATGTACTTGAAACCTGTTATCATGTCCCTTCTTAGTCTTCTCTGTTCCAGACTAAAGAAACCCATTTTTTTCAGTCTTCCCTCATAGGTCATGTTTTCTAGACCTTTAATCACTTTTGTTGCTCTTCTAATACCTCCCAGAATGATGTTTGCTTTTTTTGCAACAGTGTTACACTGTTGACTCATATTTAGTTTGTGGTCCGCTATGACCCCCAGATCCCTTTCCGCAGTACTCCTTCCTAGGCAATCATTTCCCATTTTGTATGTGTGCAATTGATTGTTCCTTCCTAAATGGAGTACTTTGCATTTGTCCTTATTGAATTTCATCCTATTTACTTCAGACCATTTCTCCAATTTGTCCAGATCATTTTGAATTTTAATCCTATCCTCCAAAGCACTTGCAACCTCTCCCAGCTTGGTATTGTCCACAAACTTTAAGTGTACTCTCTATGCCATTATCTAAATCATTGATGAAGGTATTGAACAGAACCGGACCCACAACTGATCCCTGTGGGACCCCACTCATTATGCCCTTCCAGCATGACTGTGAACCACTGATAACTACTCTCTGTGAACAGTTTTCCAACCAGTTTTGCATCCACTTTATAGTAGCTCCATCTAGGTTGCATTTCCCTAGTTTGTTTATGAGAAAGTCATGCGAGACCGTATGAAAAGCTTTACTAAAGTCAAGATATGCCACGTCTACAGCTTCCCCCCCCCCCCATCTACTCCCCTATGAAATGTATGTGCATGCCCACCGTCATAAACATCACAGCTGATGGAGTGTCTCAACCATCTGATACTGGAATTTTCCTAACAGTTTTCTCCATGGAGGGGATGGGGCTGAGGATTTTCTCTGAACTAGAATATGTAGAATAAATGAGAAACTTGAGAGCTGCTCAGCTCTGCTGACTTTTTCACAGAAGGTATAATTTAATGATGTATAGAAGACATCGCTATATTGTGCAAACAAACTGTATTGTATTTGACTTTTTTTAGTAGTGCTAGTTGGTTACAAATTTGGGGGGGGGGGTTAATTCAAATTATTTTAAAATGCCTTTACAAAATGCTAAATGTCGTTAGAACTCTTTCTAGAACCAAACTATTGAGATTTTTCGCGCTAAAGGAAAGAAGGGTAAATTTAGTTGACTTATTTTTATACTGTAACTCTAGTCAGCTGTATAAATATTAACATTCTGTAATTGTCAATGAGATATTTCCATTGTTCAGTCTGTTAGCAATATTACTGCAGTTTATTACTACGTACTGCGGTTCATGTTTTTAAAAGATGGTTGTACTGGAGATCATTGGTTCAATCTTAATTTTATTTTTGTTTTCAATACACCCTTACAAAATGGACAAATTATCATTGAAGCAATAACAGACACAATAGGTTTACTGGGAACCAGAGGATATGTTATTGAAAGAGACTAACGAAGATTCCTTGCTGAACAAAAATAACCACAAAGAGGAGGAGAAATTGTTGCACCATTAGGATGGTGAAAAGCTGCTGAGAAGTTTTGGGTTTCTTCTACTTTCCGTATCATAGTTCATAAAAGGTAGCCAGGTGTCTAAGTCGGAAGAGTCTTTTCTAGCATGTATTTTTTTTCATAGCACAGACTTGTCACAACAATCCCTCTTTCTAGTGCTCGTGAGCTGCTGCAACCTTGAGCAATTCATTTAGGGTCAGATTTTCAGAAGTGCCTAGCATCCACTAGCTCTTAATTGAAAGCAATTAAGGGTGGGGTATAGGAAAGAATATAATGTAGTATGTAGACAATTAACACAATGTAATTGTTTTAATTTAGAAATTTCCAAGCACTACAGTCAGAAAGCTGCCTTAGAACACGAGCTTCCAACAGCCACACAGAAACTTATAACAACAAATGACTGCATCTTGTCCTCGGTAGTGGCTTTAACAAATGGAGCAGGCAAGGTAATTTGTTTCCTAGCCAAAATCTAATGGTGTCAACCTAGATTAGAGTTTAAAATCTCTCACTTTTCTGACAGATTTAACTCATGTATAAAGATCTCAGGATACCACAAAGTATGTAAAGATTAAGGCTGTCGATTAATCGCAGTTAAAAAAATTAATCACAGTTTTAATCGCACTGTTAAACAATAGACTATAGAAATTTATTAAATATTTTGGATGTTTTTCTGCATTTTCATAGCTATTGTATTCTGTACTGTAATTGAAATCAAAGTGTATATTTTTTATTACAAATATTTGCACTGCAAAATGATAAACAAAAGAAATGGTATTTTTCAATTCACCTCATACAAGTACTGTAGTGCAATCTTTGTTGTGAAAGTGCAACTTACAAGTGTAGATTTTTGTTGTTGTTACATAACTGCACTCAAAAATAAAAGAATGTAAAACTTCAGAGCCTACAAGTCCACTCAGTCCTACTTCTTGTTCAGCCAATCGCTAAGACAAACAAGTTTGTTTACATTTACAAGAGATAATGCTGCCCTCTTCTTATTTACAATGTCACCAGAAAGTGAGAACAGGCATTTGCTTGGCACTTTTGTAGCTGGCATTGCAAGGTATTAACATGCCAGATATGCTAAACATTTGTATGCCCCTTCATGCTCTGGCCACCATTCCAGAGGACATGCTTCAATGCTTTAAAAAAAAAAAAAAAAAAAAAAAAAGGCATTAATTGAATTGGTGACTGAACTCCTTGGGGCAGAATTGTATGTCCCCTGCTCTGTTTTACCCGCATTCTGCCATATATTTCATGTTATAGCAGTCTTGGATGATGATCCAGTACGTGTTGTTCATTTTAAGAACACTTTCACTGCAGATTTGACAAAACGCAAAGAAGGTACCAATGTGAGATTTCGAAAGATAGCTACAGCACTTGACTCAAGTTTAAGAATCTGAAATGCCTTCCAAAATCTGAGAGGGATGAGGTATGGAGCATGTTTTCAGAAGTCTTAAGAGAGAAAAATTCCGATGCAGAAACTACAGAACCTGAATCACCAATAAAGAAAATCAACCTTCTGCTGGTGGTATCTGACTCAAGTAATGAAAATGAACATGTCGGTCCACATTACTTTGGATTGTTATCAAGTAGAATCCATCATCAGCATGTCCTGTGGACTGGTGGTTGAGATGAAGAGACACATGAATATGTAGTGCATCTGGCACATAAATATCTTGCGACGCCGGCTACAACAGTGCCATGAGAACGCCTGTTCTCACTTTCAGATGACATTGTAAACAAGAAGTGGGCAGCATTATCTCCGGCAAATGTAAACAAACTTGTTTGTCTTAGCGATTGGCTGAACAAGAAGTAGGACCGAGTGAACTTGCAGGCTCTAAAATTTTACATTGTTTTATTTTTGAATGCAGTTTTTTTTGTACATAATTCTACATTTGTAAGTTCAACTTTCATGATAGAGATTGCATTACAGTACTTGTATTAGGTGAATTGAAAAATACTATTTCTTTTCATTTTTTAAGGTGCAAATACTTGTAATCAAAAATAAATATAAAGTGAGTGCTGTACACTTTGTATTCTGTGTTGTAATTTGAAATCAATGTATTTGAAAATGTAGAAAACATCCAAAAATATTTAAATAAATTGTATTCTATTTAACGGTGCGATTAATCGCGATTAATTTTTTTTAATTGCTTGACAGCCCTAGTAAAGATCTGTTATATTCTAAGATTTCCAGATCCATTTTTAAAAAGCTATTTGCATATTAGTTTGCTACTGTTGTGATACATTGCAGTACTGCCAAAGATACATGCTTAATAGGGGAGCAGGCACAATTGCGAATGATCTTTGTTTAGTTCATGCCTGTGCAATATGTGAGTTTTGTAAAGCCCCTAATAAATTTGTACTTGCAATTTTGCTATGAACTTCAGTTCCATGACTATTCTTTCTCTTTTGTTGTTTCTGCCACTTTTTTCTATTTAAAGTAAAAATCTTTCTTGACCTGTCTAGATTGCCTCATTCTTTAGCAACAACTTAGACCACTTCACGGCTTCATTGAGCTGTGGGCCTAAGGGAGGGACAGAGTTCATCAGCCCTCTATCAGCTGAATGTATGCTCCAGTACAAGAAGAAAGCAGTTGCCTACATGAAATCTTTAAAGAAGGTGTGTTCAGCTAACATTTACATTCAAGTAGAGAAGGCAAAGGATTGTATCTAATTCAGTTACCTTAGACAATAGAATCCTCTTAATCAGGATGCCATATGGAATGGACTTTCCTCCCCCATGAAACAAGAATTAATGGTTATCAGAACCATTTTAATAGTACAGTAGAACCTCAGAGTTGTAAACTCCAGTGTTACGGACTGACCAACCACACACCTCATTTGGAACCGGAAGTACACAATCGAGCATCATCAGAGACCAAAAATAATAAAAAAGCAAATACAATACACTACTGTGTTAAACGTAAACTGCTAAAAAATAAAATAAAGGGAAAGCATTTTTCTTCTGCATAATAGTGTCAAAGCTGCATTAAGTCAATATTTGGTTGTAAACTTTTGAAAGAACCACCATAATGTTTTGTTCAGAGTTACGAACATTTCAGAGTTACGAACAACCTCCATTCCCAAGGTGTTCGTAACTCTGAGGTTCTACTGTAAGGCTGTTGTCTGGGGGTGGGAGTGGCAGAACACCCTGGGTTGAGAGCAAGCTCTGATCTTACTGTTTGCCCAGTTTCGCCAGTAGGGTCAGCTGCAAGACTGCTAGAAAGGTAGCCCACCTGTATATGTAGTTTGTTCTTTCCATATGAATAGCCAGGAACATACATGTGGAATGTGAAATTTACTGTATTTCTTTGAAGGGACTGGCAACCGTTAGCGAGGCAAATTGACAAAAACAGCATAAAGTGGAAACACAAAATTTTTATATAAGGGTGAAAAAGTACTTTGCAAATAATGAACCCTGCTAAACCAAAAGATTCAAGCACCACTAAATTTCCCCAAAAAGCTTACATTGATTCCTTGGGGGATGTCCCAGTTAAGCAGACTTCAAACATGTCCTAAGTGGCATGTATACTGTACTAATCATTTTGCCTTGCTTGGAGATCCAACTGGCTTGTATTACTAGATAGGGAAACGAAATGAAAAAAATTTTAAACATGCAAAGCAGAACTCTTCACATTGCTTTAGCAAGGACAGTGGGGATGCAGGGAGGAGGAGATCAAGAAAAGAACATGGAAAATATATAATCTGATTTACTGTGAAAGCCTTTGCTGTTTCTTTGGTTATAGCCCTATTCAGATTCAGTGCCTTATGAAGAGGCTTTGGCCAATCGCAGAGTTCTTCTGAGTTCCACAGAAAGTAGAGAAGGTCTTGCACAACAGGTATTCTTGTATATATTTTGACAAATATGTGTTAACACTTTTTTCTAATAAAAACAGTTTGCTATTTCTAAAGGTCACATGTATTAATTTGAGTTAGTCTGTTATAAATACATCTAAAATTTCAATTTTGTATCTGTAAACTCTGACATTATACTTGCTTTACCATTTCTATAATTATTTGCAAGCTGATCTATAAAGTCTGTTAGTCTGTTCTTATTAGGGAGAACTTGTCTTGAGCCTTCTTCATTTGAATGTCTAGTTCACATTTCTGTAATAGGAAGAGAGTCATAACCTTTTAGTAAAAAGAATTCTGGAATTATAGATGTAGGATGGAGAAAGGAATTTGATTTGGTTTGAGCCTAGCACAAACTACAAAGATGGAAACTTTTGCCCAGTCACTAAACTGATGTTTGCGTGCACTTTTGAGAAGGAAGAACTGATATGACAACCTAATTATCACTCATCTGAAGTTACATTTTTAATTAGAATATTATCATTGCACCACCAAAAACTGAAACCCGTTTGACAAAGCAAATAAAGAGCTGTACAATACTTTGATTCAGGATGAGTATCTTATTTCCTCACAAAGATATGCTGCACTGTTACACAAGAAATTATCAGAGGGGTTGTTACTTTATAAAACAAATGGCCCTCCTCAATTTGAGACTTCAGATTAGATTGTAGATTTCCCATTTGTTCAGTTTACAATGAACAGTAGCTTTCTGTATTACGGCCAAACAATAGTATCCAGAAACAGTGGAGTTTTGCTTTCCCATAACACAATACTTTAGAATAGGCCACCTCAACAGCAGCATTATGCTAATTTTCCACTGAAAACATGAGATCAGATTAGTTTTTTACAGAATACTTAATTTGGCAAGAAATGCAAAATGCAAAATGCAAAATATATGCAATGTAGTCTGGTATGCATTATTTAGCATTTCCTGTTCAATTTGGTCATTTCTTGCTCTGTTTTTTTAAAGAAATGATCTCTTGGACTTTGTACTATGTCTCATAACTTTACTTTCCAGTCGAAGTACTTTCCTCCTTCAGTTCACAAATGTGTGTTTAGCTCTTATTCTCAGATATATGGTATGTTTGATCTGGCATTACCATTCTTATTGTATTCCTGCACTCAGGAGGTAAGATTATGTAGAAGTATATTTATCTGAAGGGATTTTTAATTTAAAATGTATCTATTTGATTACTTGGAATTTAAAATATGTATTCTATTAATCTTAAATGGTCACTGGCAGAAAAAAATGAATTACGAAGTGTCATAGAGGATCTGTAAGCTTTGGAATTGCTCTCTGGAAGCTCTGGGGCAAGAGGAAGCTAAGCAAAGTTTAATTTGTTCTCTTGAGAATCCATATGCTGAGTATATGTCAAACTTTAGGGATTAGGTAGTGGCTAGTTTGGACAGACTGGGGCCAAGCTAAAGCAGAGGCTAACCGCTCTAGATCAGCGGTTCTCAAACTGTGGGTTGGGACCCCAAAGTGGGTCGCAACCCAAATTTAATGGGGTCACCACGGCTGGTGTTACACTTGCTGGGGCCGGGGCTGAAGCCTAAGACCTGAGCCCCACTGCCAGGGGCTGAAGCCCAAGGGCTTCAGCCCTGGGTGGCAGGGCTCAGGCTTTGGTTTCAGCCCTGGGGGGCAGGGTTCAGGTTACAGTCCCCCTTCCTCAAGGCTGAAGCCCTTGGGGTTCAGCTTTGGCCCCCCCCAGCATGGTTCGGCGGGGCTCCGGCTTCGGTCCCCCTCCTGGGGTCTTGTAGTAATTTTTGTTGTACGAAGCGGGTCGCAGTGCAATGAAGTTTGAGAACACTTGCTCTGGATATTAACTACCTGATCAGTGCAAAGAAATCAGTGGGTTGTTAATGAGCTTTTAATAAATGGAAAATATCTTGTTTAGAGTGTACTAAGGAAGAGGAGTTTAAATGAAATGTATGTGGAATTTTCCAAGACTAAATATTTTTCTATGGCTCTTGAGGAATTGCAGCCCATAAATTTAATTTGTATTGTGTTTATTCCTTTATTTTTGCAACATGTTTGTTGTCAGCTTGCAAATCTTAAAGCTGTGAAATGGCTGGCTGGAGCCAGGCATACTGCTGTTCAAATTTCCACACACAGTTCTTCTAATCCTGACCTACAACTACTTTGATATTCTAGCCCTGGATCCCCCTTAATGGAAGATTGCCAATTGTGCTGACTCTTGTGATGTGCAGATATGCAGTAGGGACCAATTGAAACCATTTAAACACATTTCTACTTGTGACCTAAGCATATTAAACCTAGAACTTTGGGCCTTTAGGCATTAACCTGCTGTACCATCTAATCTCATTCACTTACTTAGACCGTATATCTTCGGGTAATTCTTAATTTAATTCCCAACACTTCACATTCTTTCTACAATTCAAACATAGTTAACTTTTCCTTCTTAAGGTCCAGCAAAGTTTGGAGAAGATTGCAAAACTGGAGCAGGAAAAGGAACATTGGATGCTTGAGGCCCAGCTAGCCAAAATTAAGTTAGAGAGAGAAAACCAGAAGCTAAAGAGCTCACTTAGTGGACAGTTGATTGAGCCTATGCCAGAAAATTCTGTTCTGCTGAATGCAGCCGAACGAGAGAAAGAAGAAGCCATAAAAAAGACTTCAAGGAAGCCTGTTAAAAGAATGAGTCTGGTAAGTGACTTTTTCCTCAGATCCTTTTATTTCTCAATGTGCTGGAGGAAAGATCTTTTACACTTGGAAACAGCAACTTTTTGGTAATATTGTTTGATCAATGGAACAATATCATTTGAGGTTTTAATTATGACATCATCCACATTAAATTTAAAGCAGTTTTGAGTCTAAATCAAGTTGACAGCTGATGTCTCCTGCAGAATGCAGGTCTTAGTGATTGTTTTTTGTATTTTTGGTTTTTTTAGAGACACCTGTCTTGTTCTGCAACTTCATTAATATTACTTATAGGTCCACAAAAGTCATATTGGTAGGAGATGTAAAGAACTGACTTTAAAAATCAGAATCAAAAGTATACAGAGAGCTGGTATCCTGCAAGAAGTAACTTACTTAGAGTTGGCCTAAAATATTTACATTTCTCTTATAGACAATATTTTTAGACTACTTGAGCATTGTTGGAAGATACAAATGCTGCTTACCTGTAATATATCAAATTCATGATCTGCTAATAAATTGTAACTAGGATAGCTTCCTTGAACTGATAGTGTATATTTGTTATAAAGAATAATGTGGACCTGTGATTACTTCTAACAGTTATAGCTTATAACAGAATTAACCTTCTTTGCCTTTGCCGTGTCCTGTTGTTCGGTGTTGGTGGCTCATGTTCTTTGTCTCCAAGCATTCTTGTGAAGTGTGTCTTCCAAGCTGAAACTAAACTTCCTCATGTTAAAAGAATGAGGAGTACTTGTACCACCTTTTGAGACTAACAAATTTATTTGGGCATAAGCTTTCGTGGGCTAAAACCCACTTCATCGGATGCATGCAGTGGAAAATACAGTAGGAAGATATATATATCACACACACACAGAATGTGAAAAAATGGGTGTTGCCATACCAACTATAACAAGACTAATCAATTAAGGTGGACTATTATCAGCAGGCGGAAAACAAACTTTTGTAGTGATAATCAGGATGGCCCATTTCCAACAGTTGACAAGAAGGTGTGAGTAACAGTAGGGGGAAAAATAAGCATGGGGAAATAGTTTTACTTTGTGTAATGACCCATCCACTCCCAGTCTTTATTCAATCCTAATTTAATGGTGTCCAGTTTGTAAATTAATTCCAATTCAACAGTTTCTCGTTGGAGTCTGTTTTTGAAGTTTTTTGTTGGAGTATTGAGACGTTTAGGTCTGTAATTGAATGTCCAGGGAGATTGAAGTGTTCTCCGACTGGTTTTGAATGTTATAATTCTTGACATCTGATTTGTGTCCATTTATTCTTTTGCATAGAGACTGTCCTGCCATGTACATTGGCCAAACCGAGGGGCATTGCTGGCACATGATGGCATATATCACATTGGTAGATGTGCAGGTGAACGAGTCTCTGATTGTGTGGCTGATGTGATTAGGTCTTATGATGTCCCTTGAATAGGTATGTGGACAGAGTTGGCAACAGGCTTTGTTGCAAGGATAGGTTCCTTAGTTAGTGTTTTTGTTGTGTGGTTGCTAATTTTCCCCCCCCCCTACTGTTACTGTTTTTTCTCCTGCTGATAATAGCCTACCTTAATTGATTAGTCTTGTTATAGTTGGTATGGCAACACCCATTTTTTCATGTTCTCTCTGTGTGTGTGTGTGTGTGTGTGTGTGTGTGTGTGTGTGTGTGTGTGTGTGTGTATCTTCCTACTGTATTTTCCACTGCATGCATCCAATGAAGTGGATTTTAGCCCACGAAAGCTTATGCCCAAATAAATTTGTTGGTCTCTAAGGTGCCACAAGTACTCCTCATTGTTTTTGCTGATACAGACTAACATGGCTACCACTCTGAAACCTTCCTCATGTTGTTCTTCAGTGTCTTAAGCCACCTTTTTCTAAGTCTTCCTTGTGGTCTTTGTCCCATGACTACTAGCTCTTGTACTCTCTCTGGCAAACATCTCACATGATGCAGCTATCTCAGTCAATACTCCCTCACCTTTTCCACAATGGAGGCTATCTGAATCACTGCTTGTACCATTTTATTGCGTACCCTATCAGCTCTTGTCTTACTCTGCGTCCATCTGAGTATTCTCATTTTGGCAGTGTAAAGTAGTTTTTCTCTTCCTCATTGGCCAGCATTCTGACCCAGACTTCAGGGCTGGCCTAATCATAATCTTATACACTTTGGTCTTTAATTTACTTACACAATTCCTACTGCAGAGAATTCCTGTCAACTTGGTCCATTTATACCAAGCACTCTTCATGTGGCTTCCAACATCTCCATCCACATTCCCATCATGGCCCAACACTGAACTGCGGTATTTAAATTATTGCACAGACTTTAACTCTACACCATCGAGTTTTACTGGCTTCTCGTTGTCCCTCTCAAGGAAGCATTGCACGAGTTCCATTTTGTATCGGCTGATTTGTAAGACATTTTCTTTTAATGCGACCGTCAATAGTTTTAGGTCTCTTTTCAGTTAATATTTATCTTCGGACCGTGATATAATGTCATCAGCGAAAAGCACACTGCATGGAGCCTCTCCCCTAATCTCCTGCGTTAAGGTGTCCATTACAATCTCCCATAGGAATGGGTTTAAGGCTGATACTTGATTTAGACCTACCATCCCAGTGAATGACTTGCTGTAGCCACAGCAGCTTCTTGCTACTATTGTGCTCTCCTAGTATATGTCTATGATAGCACTGGTCTACAATTTTTGAGACGTCGTCTGCTTCAGAGATAAAATGTGCTATTTATTATGTATTTTGAT